CCCGCCACGCCCCGCCACGCCCCGCCCGAGGTGGCGGAGAAAGTGATCTCTCAGTGCGTTAGTGCGTAGCATGTGAGCATGGCGCCCTACTGGTCCGCCGGCGCCCCAGCTGCAGCTGCAGCGGGCCCTGCGCGCCGCGCCTCCTCCGCGGGCGCCTTGGCCTCGGCCGCCATGCAGGGCGCCGTGGGCCGCAAGGCGAGCAGCGCGGGCGAGGCGTACCACCGCATCATCTCGTCCACGCGCAACCCCCTGTACGGCATGACGGCCGTGGGCCACGTGGGCCTGGCGGACAGCGTGGCGGGCTCGGCCTCGGACGACACGTCGGGCGGCTCGTCGTCGGCCTCGGCCTCGCGGCACTACGTGGACCCCTGGGACCTGGAGAACTTCATGTACCTCAAGCGGCACTGGGCCGCCGAGGACGGCGAGGGCGAGGCCTCGTCCACGCCCGCGCTCGAGTCGGGCGCGCAGTCCGACTTCTACTACGTGGGGCCGTCGAGGCCGGCGGCCCGGTCCTCGCCCGGGCTCGACGTCGACCTGGACGTGGACGCCTACCCGTCCATGTACCGGCCCGACTCGGTGCTGCTGGAGCCGCTGGCGCTCGGCCCCGCCAGCATGAGCGTGCTCAACGCCGTCGAGGAGGAGAGCTTCTTCAACGAGCGCTTCGACCCGTCGCTGCACCAGCGGCAGCACTCGCAGCACTCGCACCGGCACGTGCGCAGGAGCCACTCGGCCGCCGCCACCTACCTGCACGACGCTCTGCCCACCGGCAGGGCCGGCGGCGCCACCCCCGGGGCGCCCAGCGCCTACGCCGGCCGGCGCCGCAGCGTCGCCTGCGCGCCGCGCTACTACAGGACGCCCATCACGGGCGGGGGTGAGTTTCAAGTGCGATCTCTCTCTTCGGGAGGTCCTGGTCGCGCATTTCAAACGACTGCCTGAGGCGTACTCGGTACTTCTTCGAATTGCGTATGGTTTGGACACAGAAATATAAATAATGTCACACAGAAAAATTGACAGTTTTGTATTAACCACCATATGGTTCCAGTGATATGGCCAGGCCATAAAATATGGTTTACATAGTAAACGATCCACAAGTGGTGACAACCGTGTTTTTGGCGGTTTTGGCCGACCTGTGCTATTGTCGCCTCGAACATTTTATGATTGTCCTCTTGGCACGACGGTTTCCAGAGATTTTCGTCAAGTTAAGTCTAGTTTGCCATAAAGATTGCCCACACTCTTTCGATTCTAGTTGGTTCTCATTGAGCTGTAGATTCCGATCCTCCCCCCCCCCTCCCCCTTCCCCTTCGGAAAGAGTGTAGAGCAATCAATGGCGATCAACGCTCACGTATTGACACGGCGCACTCGGCCTCGTCAGACCCGCACGCCGATTATTGGCGACGCGGAGAAAGCTGCGCGCGGACACTCTTTGCAGCGGGAGCGCGGCGGCGGGGTCGCGGAAGTGCAGCGCGGCCGCGCCCCCGCCAGTCACCCTACGCCACTCGAAGACTCGATCAATACCGATGATAAGTCAATGCGATCTGCCCATAACGGGTAGATAATGGTCATAGGCTACAAAATGTATCTCACAAATGAAATATATCGCCCGCGCAAACAGAAAATGTCGTCGACAAATTCAAAATCGGAGACCTAAACGCACTCGGCCTCCTCAGGAGACGCGGTTCAGGGATGCGGCCGCACACCCGTACACCGCGCTTCGGTCGGTTTCCGTCATCATCCCTTATCGGCGCGGTGCTTTCTCTCTCTCTCCCGCTGCAGCCGAAAGGAGCTTAGCTGCTGCAGCTGCTTGCTCTGCGCGCGCACCGAACGGATCGGCTTACATAATGTGGAGCGGGCCAAGAGCGTTGGGTCCGACGTGTTGCGCCTGCCCGCCCCGCCGGGGCCCGGGCCTACCGCGGTGAGCATTTGCATCGTTTGCATCGCGGTCATTAAATCACACACTCCGCTATGCCGTTCCGCAATTTGGCCCTACCTCCTGTACTCCCCCCCCCCTCTCTCTCCCTCTCTCTCTCTCTCTCTCTCTCTCTCTCTCTCTCTCTCTCCCTCTCTTTCCCTCTCTCTCTCTCTCTCTTCCGCTTACTCTCATTTACGATGCGATGTCATCTAGTTAAGTCCTCCGTCCAGTCCGACGAGTGCAGCCCAGGTTTCACTCCCGGCGTGTCCTTCCTTGTCCTTGTTAGTCGTAGTGTTGCTCCACTGGTGCTGCTGCTGCGCTGAGCTGGGAGGAGTGTACACTGTGGTGCAAAAAAAGGAAACGATCAGGTTCATGAAAAGATGCGTACCAAAATTTAGTTGGTTAAGGGGAAAATAATTTATGATTGTGCATTCACTTCATGCAGCTGGGCGCACAGGGTGTGGCAAGGCAAAGCGCGGCGTAGCGTGGCGTAGAGGGGCAGAGCGGGGCGTGGCTGGGAGGGGCAAGACGGGGCGGGGCCGGCGCCCATCGGCGACGATGATTCTCTCTGTCTGAGCCGGAAGTGAAGGTGAAGGTACAGGCGGCGGCGTGAGCGGCCAGCGCCCCTCAGTTCCCCAGGTGTGCCAGGATAAGTGGTCAGTGAGCAGGGCCAGACAGGTGGCAGCCGGCGCCAAAAGCGACACTTCATGGGACGCCGCAGGCAAGACTAGGTCCACGCCACGACAACCTACAGATGCACTTTGCGAATTACCTGAGCTAGGCGCCTGCGAGGTTCAGAGTAGGCTACCCCGCACTGCATGTATGCACTGAAGGCAAGATGTTGCCTACCCTCCAGGCGCCGCCATACGAGCTGGCATATTCTGAACTTGATGATATCATAACACATTTTCTGGATGACGAACTGGATGGGGCCTTTACCGACCGAAACGGTCGAAAAGAATACTTGTCCTCTCTGTAGTTCTCATGTTATAAAGTCGAATAAGAACCAGATAGACTTATATTTGTATTCAAATGTGATGGAAACATTTCATTGTCTGTGGTTGAATACTGTTTTCGAGTTAGCTGAAGAAAATCAAGAAGACTCAAAACGTAATGGAATCAAGAACGCATTTTTTTAGGAGTGTAGTCTATACCTAGGCAAGGCGCCTTGCAACGATGATGTTGCGAGCGCCGATAAAACAAAGCCGCAGCAGCGCAAGTTCCGCACTTCCGAGTCCCTCCCCTCCTCCCGCCGCCGGCGCAACGCGGCGCAAGTGCTTGCCGCCGAGGCGGTTGCCCACATTTACGGCCCCAACCCAACGGCCCGATGGCGGTGGCCGGTTCGGTTCAGGTGGCGCCCAGCCGGGCCGAGCCGGTGACATGGAATGAAAGTGACCGCCCAGCGGACTTTCGTATATATCGGAGCCAGTGCGAGCCCCTCTAGAGGAGGCGGATATTGAGTAAGTGAGAAGGCGGAAAGGCGCGTCGGCGCGCGAGGGGGACTTAAACACCTTAATACCCGCTTCTCACTCGCGAAGGGGAGCAAGGGTGGGGGACGCCCCATAGTGCCGCTGTGGCTGCATATCGCGCAGCCTCCTCGCGGGCGGCACCGCTCTGCGCGGTCGCTGCCCTCCCGCCCCGCCCCGCCTCGCCCCGCCCCGCCCCGCCCGCACCCTCCCGCGCAAAGCAATAAGAAGTGCAGTGCTGCAACACACCAGCGGCGCGGGCGCGGCGAATGGGAAGGCTGGTGCGGAATGGAAAAGCGATGCCGGAGAAAGGGGTGTGTCGCGCCGCGAGTGTCGCTGCCTGCGGACTTACTCTGTTCATATTCCACCGCTGTCATTTCACTCCTTTCCAGTCGTTCGAGCATTCACAACAAAAAATACACAGGTGTACAAAATACATACAATGTGCCATTTGCACATAATTATGCATACAAATTGTAAATACTTATAAGGATGCTGATTCTGATTGTGCAACGCAAAATTTTCACCGTAAACTCGACCGGAAGCTACGGTAAATGTAAGCTTTTGACAGTGCAGTACACCGTGATTTCTGGCAGTTTTCCAGAGTGCGCGGGTAATCCGACACTAGTCCGTGTTACGCGTGTCCCAGCTGGCGCTGCCCTTTCCGGTCCGAGAAGCGCCTGTGCCTGCTTGCTCCCCTATACCTTTCCCTTTCTAGAATTGGATAGGGAGGGGAGGGGCCGCCGCCGTTGTGATCGGGTTGAGTGATGCAGCAGCGGCAAGCTCGAGCAGGCCACCGCGAGCTGCTCGGGTTCTGTAATGTGCGAGTGATGCTTGGAGCGGTGCCCTGCCCTGCCCCGGCCCCCCGCCCGCCCGACCACCCCGCCGAACTAGTGCAGGTTTCTCTCCATAGTCGGGGGGACAAGGCACAGAGCAAGAGTCGGCAGCTGCACCGCTCAGCGCAGCAATGCCGGGCATAATTCATGCGAGAGCTCTTTTTCACTCTCGACTTGTTGCTACAGCTTATGCGCGCATTCATCTGCTACATATACGCTCGTAGGTACAGGGTGTTTTGCCTTTTAATCCATACTAAACTTAGTAAAATTGATCGACGACATTTTTTTGAATTTTAAAAAAACAGTTTTGATTTATTTTAGTGTAGATCACCACACTTCCCCGTCGATAACGTACCCAGTCTAATTTTCCAACTATTTACTTCTGCGGTAGTGATAACGGATCTATGAAAACAGTACACAGCATGGGCCACTTTCACCGCGCACGCACCGCGTGCGTATTAAATATGTGCAAACAACAAGAAAAATGAAAAGAATTTGGATCTATGGCGGCGAGCCCCCAAAGTCATGCTCCCGGATCTGCAGAGAGGTGCTTCCTCTCTGTTCACTTCCGGTCGTCGGCGGGGTAGATGGCCCGCCGTTGTTCTCAGGATGTTGGCTCACGCACGCACTGATTGGGGCGGGAGAAGGGAATCCCAGAGAGGGATGTTAACCGGCCGCTTTGTGCCACAATTACAAGGGAAAAATGTTGAGCAAGCCGCAGCGGGCCGCGGCGCGCTGGCTGTTGCTGCAGTTCGAGCAGGCGCCGCCCCGCGAACCAACGGCCTTCGCGGCCTCGGCATCCGAACGAAACGAAGTTTTCTTCTCAGGAATGAGAAACGGGTCGGGGCGGTGGGGGCGGCGGGCGGAGGCAAACCAGAGCGCCCGCGAGCAGGCAGGTGGTGAAGCAGGACCCGCTCAACTGATCCTCTTGCGTTGTTTATGCATGCAGCGCAATATGCTATGTTCTGTGAGCGATCAAACGTATTAAAAAGGAATCGAGGTAAAAACTTTGTCGGACGTTCTCGATTACAATCACGTTGAGCTGTGGTTACGAATTAAAATATGTTGCTTTATTCATGCAGAACTGGTAAATTTACCCTAACTTCAAACCTCATGAAAGCGGAAGCGATAGTGCTCGTCTCCTCACATTTTTGGGCTTTGTACATACGCCACTGTGTAGACTACGAAAGCATTACTTTTCCAATGGCGTTAGTTTTGCAATTGCCAAGCCATTCTTTCCATTCTACTGCCGAAAATTCTTTGCACTTATTCCATTGTACTGTACAAGGCGTGCGTGTGTTTCGGAGGGAATGGAATGGCTCTGCATCCTTACGAAGCTTTCTTTCAGTCGCATAGTTTTCCAGCATGTTCCTATTGCATGTATTATGCAGGAGCCGGGGACAGACTGCAATACAATATTCCCCAGCTCACCCCTTCGCGGCTCTTTAGAACTTTTGTAAAGGCTCTGACCTTTTTGAATATGGGGTGGTGGAAGTGGTC